GTTGAGCCACAGGCGCGGAGCCTTGTTTTCCTTTTTGAAACAGACTCTCACTCTGTGGCCAAAGTGTGAGTGCTGTGGCATCAGCCTAGTTCACAGGAACCTCAAACTCCTGGGCTTAAGCCCTGCTTCAGCCTCACCAGTACCTGGGACTACAGGAGCCCCCAAGCATGCCTGGCAATTTTTTTGATTTTTTTGTGGAGTCAGGGTCTCACTTGTGCTTAGGCTGGTCTTGTACTGCTGGTCTCAAGGAATCCACCCACCTCAGCCTCCCAGGGTGTTAGGATTGCAGCTGTGAGCCACCTTGCCCAGCCTGAGTATCTATTCTTAGAGGCTGGGCTTTACTTGTAGCTCCAAAATCTTATGAATGTACAGTACTCTCGGACAAAGCCCATCTTCCTTCATTCTATGCATTACATTTACACTTAACAGTATTTTTGGCTTCATTCTGTGCTAGGCCCTGGGGCTTCAAAAATGAAGTGAAGGGCTTTGCTTTCAAGTCACTTAGACTCTTTCTACGGAAACAAACATGTCCACAGATAATTCTAGTACAATGAGGGCTTTGTGACGACCTGGAGATGAAAGACTTCTGCTTTGGTTTTTACTAGCATTTTATAATGGGAAATGGGTGAGGTACAAGAAAGCTTCCTGATCATGTTTGGCCCTGAGAGGAAGGACAGTGTGTTTCAATGTTCTCTGGTTTAAAAAAAAATAAAAAAGGAAAAAGAAAAAGGAAAGTGTATTTATTTTCATTGAGGAAAAGAAACTGAAAACTCTGGAGGCTGAATAAACAGGAAGAATTTCTTTTTCTCTTAGGGTCATGAGGCCAGTTAATGATTAGTGAGACCCAAGTGGAGGTTTGGTGAGAGGCCGGCTGTGTGCTGTCTGCAACATTAGGTGGTAGGACTTCCAGCCCAGCGATGCCCCCAGGCCTCTGGGGGAGATGCTTCTGCTTGTGGGGACTCCTTTTGTGGCTCCCGGTTGGATGTTCAGGTAAGCTGGGGGCTCAGGCCTTGGGTAGGGCTCATTTCAGTCAAGGATCGCATTTCTCAAACTATGTTCATGGTACTAACTTGTTGGAACATCCCCTAAAAGCCCTTTGCCTTCCTGAGGTGAATTTAATTAAGACATGGGGGAAAACCCTACTGTCATAAGGGAAATAGGATGAACAGGACACTTTCTCAGGTTAGAGAAATTGAACTTCTCCTGTTTGGTTGACTCATTTTTCTAAAACTCACACCACAAAATCTTTTGCATTACAGAAGCCAGGATGACTCTTGAAAAAATTTTTTTTATTAACTCCAAAGTGTTATTCTTTTTGCCCTCTAAATATCCACTGTTCCAAGATATATTTGACTTTAAATTTAAATTTTCCAAGGTAATGGTTATTGTGTCTGTCATTAAGATTGTCAGATGTCCTTTCTCACGCCGTGGCCCGGCCAACTCAAGTTTAGGCTTGTCCTCCTTCTTGGCTGATAACTAGTCCCTGCTAACTACAGATGCCCGCTGAGCACAACTTCCCTTAGATGCCATTTGCTTTCTGCCTTTCCCCTTGTAAAGAACCGTCCCATTTTCCCTGGGGGTTAACCCATTCCGTCTCTGCCCTGTGTGCTGCTGAAGTTCTCGGAAGACTCCCCCCACTGCCCCAGCAGTGGCCTCGTCAGAAAAGTCCCCTCCTTCTGCGCCAAATGGCAGATCTTCCCCATAAGACGCTTACTTTCCATTCCCCAGCTCCAGACTATGTCATTGCTTCTGCCGGGAGTTGCTCAGATTACCTGTGGGTTAATTTCTGCTTTTCGTGTCTTCCAAGGGGGCTTCCATGCTTCCTACCTTCCTTGCAACCCATCATTCCTCTGCTCAGCACCCCTCTCTGCTTGCAGGTTCAACTTGCACGAGGGACTGCTCTCCCTGCATCCTCAGGTGGCTTTTTAAAGGTGCTGCTTAGCTGCGCGTGTGCTTTCTTCTGCCACAATCCTATGTTCCTGCACCCAGTGCTGAACACCTTTCCTAGGGGTTACTCATCCCAGGGAGAAACTATTTTTTTTTTCTTTCTCTCTCTCTCTTTTTTTTATTGTTGGGGATTCATTGAGGGTACAAGAAACCAGGTTACACTGATTGCATTTGTTAGGTAAAGTCCCTCTTACAATCGTGTCTTGCCCCCAAAAGGTGTGGCACACCCCATCCCCCTCCTGCCTTCCCTCTTTCTGCTCTTCCTTTCCCCCACCCCTTCCTCCTTTCTCTCACTGCCCTCCCCTTCCCCCACCCCCACCGTGTCATTAATTGTCCTCATATCAAAGTTGAGTACATAGGATTCATGCTTCTCCATTCTTGTGATGCTTTACTAAGAATAAGATGTTCCACTTCCATCCAGGTTAATACAAAGGCTGTTAAATCTCCATTTTTTAAATGGCTGGATAGTATTCCACGGTGTACATATACCACAGCTTGTTAATCCATTCCTGGGTTGGTGGGCATTTACGCTGTTTCCACATTTTGGCGATTGTAAATTGAGCTGCAATAAACAGTCTAGTGCAAGTGCCCTTATGATAAAAAGATTTTTTTCCTTCTGGGTAGAGTCCCAGTAATGGGATTGCAGGATCAAATGGGAGGTCTAGCTTGACTTCTTTGAGGGTTCTCCATACTTCCTTCCAAAAAGCTTGTATTAGCTTGCAGTCCCACCAGCAGTGTAAAAGTGTTCCCTTCTCTCCCCATCCATGCCAGCATCCAGAGAGAAACGATTACAGAACTAAGGATGACTGACTGCTCAGTTCCTCCCCAGGGAATTATGGTGTTCACTTCTTAAAACACTTTCTCTCTCTCGCTCTTTTTAAGGGCCCAAAATGATTGGTGTGGTTTGATGGCCCACTATCTTTCTCTTTAACATCTTCCATATCTTTTGATGAAAGAGTATTCTAGGCCAGGATTGGTGGCTCAGACCTACAATCCTAGCAACTCAGGGAGGCTGAGGTGGGGAGATCACTGGAGTTCAGGAGTTCCATACAAGCCTGAGCAAAAGAGACTCCCCATCTCTACTAAAAATAGAAAAAATTAGCTGGATATGGTGGTGGACACCTGTAGTCCTAGTTAGTAAGTGGTAGAGAGATTGTGTATTATTTCCAGCACCAGCACCTCTTTCTTCTATGTACTATTCTGATTTTTTAAAAACAGTAATATTGGACTTACAGAAAGCTTGGAAAATACATAAAAGTAAATGGAAGAATCTCTAAAAAAAAAAAAAAAAGAAAGAAAAGAAAAAGAAGTAAATGGAAGAAAATAAATATCATGTATAGCCCATCATCTAGACACAAATATATTTTAACAGTTTTGCTGTATTTCATTCCTTTTTTTCTCTTCGTTTAGTAAATTTAAAACATTAATTATAAGATATTTTAAAAATATAAGAAAGTTCAGTAAATAATATGCCAATTTAGTTCCATGGCCATCTGGATCCTTGAGTGCTACCTTTGACCAAATCCAAACTTCACAAAACAAATCCCTTTCGGGATTTATTTGGATTCTGTGAAGGGAAGCCACACTTGGCGATCTGGAAGACCACATGTGGCCTTGAGGCCACAGGTTCCCCAGCCCACTACAATGTGAAAAGTTTAAGATGGTTTCTAAAAATGGGGTCACTGGGTCCCACGGCAATTTACCAGTGTAGCCAAATTGCTCCCCCCAAAACAATAGATCGAATTTATACTCTCACCGGAAATGTATAGGATCCTATTCCCCTTCTCACTAGTATTTAGTATTGTCGGATTATTTAGTTTTTGCTCATCTGATGGGAGTGAAATACTTCCTCTTTCTCATTTTAATTTGCCCTTTAGTGCTTATTAATAGCTTTGAACATCTTTTTATATATCTTTTAAGATTTCCTCTTCTACAAAACGAGCTCATGTAGGTTATTCTCTACTGACCTGCTCATTTTTTGTCATTGGTTTGTGCCAGGTTTTTATATATTCTTGACACGAATCCTTTGTCTATAATATATATCTCAAAAAAGACTTTTTGAAGCCTATGACTTGTTTTTTACTTTTACTTTCTGCTTGTGTTTTTAGACAGAAGCTTATACAATAAAATGTATCCATCTTTTGTTTTATGATTTGTGCTTCTGGTATCTCATTTAAGCAATCTTCCTATAAAGATAATCTCTCATATTTTCTTCTAAATATTATGGGCTAGCTCAATCAGACTAAGATTACCAAGGACAAATCTTTTGGTCACAATGTGCATTTTAACACAGTGTTGAATCTGATTTGCCAAAACTTGTTTTTATTTCTGAATGTGTTTGTATTTATAAAAAGAATTTCTTTTACTCTGTGCTAGATATTATAGTATTGATTTTTTTTTATTTTCATGACTTTTTCATTTCCCATTTTCTAATTAGTTTTTCCCCAATATCTTATTTTATCATTTATGCCTGTTTTTATATTTTATAATTTTTATGCTACCTTTATTTTTATCATGTATATTCTTAGCATACTTATTTTGAAATCTGCATTAAAGATTTTCTTTTTTTTTTTTTGAGACAGAGTCTCACTTTGTTACACTTGGTAGAGTGCGGTGGTGTCATAGCTCACAGCAACCTCAAACTCTTGGGCCTAAGCGATTCTCTTGCTTCAGCCTCCCCAGTAGCTGGGACTACAGGCACTGGCCACAACGCCCTGCTATTTTTTTAGAGGTGAGTTCTTGCTCTTGCTAGGGCTGGTCTCTAACCCAAGAGCTCAGGCAATCCACCCACGTTGGCCTCCCAGAGTGCTGGGATTACAGGTGTGAGCCATCTCGCCCAGCCTATATTAAAGCATATTTTACCTAAAGTGAGTTACTGATCCACTTACTGGTTTTATTAACTATCTTTGTACACATTTGATTTTTTTTTTTTTTTAACATATTGAAGTTCTCTTTTTTTTTTTTCAACTTTTGGCCGGCGTCGGGTTTGAACCTGCCACCTGTGGTATCTGGGGCTGGCACCCTATTCCTTAAGCCACAGGCGCTGACCTTTTTTTTTACATATTTAGGCATTTTGTTTTCAGGTTTATTTCTAAGTAAACTTTTTATTAAGTATAACATATATACATGTAAGTTCACAAATTACTATACAGGTTAATGTATTTTCAGAGTGAATTCACCTATGTAAGCATCACCCAGATCAACAAATGAAACATTACCAGAATCCTAAAGGTCGCCTCCTATTCCCCTTCTCAGTCACTATCATTTCAAAGGTAACTACTATCTTGGCTTCTAGATTAGTTTCATTTTAATTTTTAATGAAAAGTTCAGTGTAGCCTCTCTCCTCATCCACCCACTCCACTCCCAGCCTCCCACCTCCCCCTCTTCGTTTTCAGATTCTCTCCAGTCAGGGAGCCAGTCAGCCCCTGTCTCAGCTCCAGGTAGCCAAGTCTGGTCTTTCTATGCTACCTCCCTAAATAAAGCTGTAGCCCCAGGCAGTGAGTCACCAGCTTCCTTTTGTTCCTGTTTTTCCCCTTCCTTTCATGACTTGAAGAGCCCCCTCTCCACAACTGGCTACAAGGTAGGCCTGGTGCTGGTCCTCACACCCACCCTCATGGAGCTGAC